GCCGCAGAACTTAGAATTCGTGCAACTGAGCGGAAATCTCGGAGGAATACATAGACGTTAGAGCTTATCCATGACAAACTGAAAATTTCGGCATCTCGGTCCAAAACTGAGGTCAACAATATCACCCACACACGAACAAATCTATAAAGGATAGCACACGTTGAAGAAAAAAAAAGCGAGTCAGGTGATAAAATCTTCCATGATCTAATTAAAGAGATACTAAATGTGCGAACTAGTATATCAAAAAATAACAACCCGATACGGAAAAATACTAATCCAAAGTATTAGAAAACCCAAATTGGCAGTATAAGTAGCCCAATTGTCAAGAATTAAGGAAAGGGATTTATTCTAAGCTGAGTACTGTAAATTCGTCGTTATTGCCGGAGCCAGGAACAAAAGCCGCAGCTACAGCAGTTACGAACCGAGAGCCTGCATCGAAACACATTTTGATTGTTTGACCGGCCCGGTAATTCTTGTATACTGCACTGAAATGACTTTCATGAAGGGTTCTACCAAGTGCACGACCACCAACAGACCCAGAAATCGTATCTACTGCTGTTGGATTCGAGTTGGCATCATATGTTGTCACTCCAATTATCAGTGTATTTGCATCGAGTCTAAAACCAAAATCACCATCCTTGCTGCAGATTAAGCCACGATCACCGCCATTATTCCACCTCCGTATGTTGTTATTGTGAATACACCCTGCGAGTGGAGTCGATTTGTCGATGCGAACAAAATCAACACAAGTTGAGTCTGGCTCACATGGTCGATCAGTAATATCATAAAGGTTTGGAAAATCTTGAGCCTCGCATACATTAGCAAGAGTCCTCTCGTTTCTGCAAAAAGAGCTTGCAAACACAGGGTAGCGAGGGTCCGGACACAGAGGATGTGCACGACGACTCAGAGACAGAGTCTGTGTTTGTTTTAGAGTCGAATTCCGCATTTTTTCTAGAGGTACTCCTGCGACTATGGTCGCGATCGCAAGTAAAAAGAAAATGTATTTCATACGCAAATGAGAAAACATATTGTTGCTATTGTTTCTGTAGATGATGAAAGAGAAAAGCGGAAAGTATATGAAATTAAATTGCTTGTAGTTGTTCTTGTAGAGGGAGTCAGATGTCTTGGCTACGATAGTATTATCGGAAGTCTCCTATTTAAAAACTTACAAGTTATGGTATAACGAATCTTTCCTATTGATAAAATAAATATAGCTGATACAGATGGCCCTTTGTCTAACTGATATAATATTTTAGCAGTCGCATAAAAAGCAAAACAATAAAGGTTCCTTCATTATTAATCAATCCACGAGCTGATTAAAACATCTCGACATGAAATTCGCAATTTCCTGATCGAGCGATCATATAGTCGCATGGAAGATACACTCACTGGAAAAAAGTATCGACAAAAATGTGCTGATCAATTATATCACAATTCTATTGGTTCCGCTTTGATGACAACATATAACAGAGCGTCTCTGCCTTGGCGATTATTCCGTGGATTGGGCTTTTTTCCGGTGTCACAACAACGTGACTTTAATACTAACACTAAACATTAAACTGACCGAGTATTTGAATATAAACAGTTTGATGTTAATTTGTTTACTATATTTAGATATTATGAACGTTCATAATGGATTAGTACTAGCTCCATATGATATTCGTTTAGTTGAGAGATTACATATGAAAATCTAATTTCAAAGACCTCTATTGTCTGTACGTACTATGTAAGTCGCAATAATGTTTGTGACTGTATTTTCTGAATATCGTTCTAAAACTGTAGTTCGATAAAGTGGCGTATCTACACATGTGAAAACATATGAAATTCTACCGTAACATGGTATTGCCGCTTCATCGATTTTAACGATAAATGGGCCAGATATATCACTCTTTTTTTCGAAAAATACAGTCAATTAGCTTCAAAACGGTATAAAATTATTGCGACTTACATAGTACATACAGACGTCTTCGAAAAATTAGATTTTTCAAGTGTTTTACTACTGAACAGCACATTAACCCTTATAATTTTAGTCGGACAGTCAGCAGTACAAGCTCTGCATGCACCCGGTGCGCACATCATTAGCCGGATCATCCGGCGATCATTACGTGCGTATGCCAAATCGCATAAGCTAACCGGCGATCATTATCTCGATCATTAGTCATTACCGGATATCCCACAATAGTGACCATTAGTAATTAGCCGGATTATCCCGCGATAATGATCATTAGTAATTAACCAGATTATCTCGTAGTATGATAGTAATTAGCAAGGCCATAGTAATGATTATTCGAAAGTAGCAAGACCATTCGCAATGATCATTAGTAATTAGCTGATTATTCCACAATAATGATCATTAGTAATTAGCTGGATTATCCCATAGTAATGATTATTAGTAATTAGCTAGATCATCCCACAATAATGATCATTAGTAATTAGCTGGATTATCCCACAATACTGATCATTAGTAATTAGCTGGATTATCCCACAATACTGATCATTAGTAATTAGCTGAATTATCCCACAATAATGATCATTAGTAATTGGCTGAATTATCCCACAATACTGATCATTAGTAATTGGCTGAATTATCCCACAATAATGACCATTAGTAATTAACCAGAACATCCCACAATAATAATCATCAGTGATTAGCTAGACACAATAATGATCATTAGTAATTAGCTGGATTATCCCACAAATAATGATCATTAGTAATTAACCAGATAAACTGACTGTGACAACTATCATATTAGATAACAATAATAAAGTATCTAGATCGATTAACAAAAGTCTAATCATTATTAGTAGTTAGTATAATACAGTGCAGTTTTAGTACTAAGTGGCTTGACAAATAATATCACATTTAGGAAAAATACGTTGCCAAAATTGTTGAAAATGTGTAAGTATAAATATCCTGTCCGTGAAAAGAAGGCATAAATTATTTTACAACACAATGGTATAGCGTGTAGCTCTTAAGCATTTAACGTTAACATTGATTGGCACCATGTTGTCAATGAACAAACAAAAAAGATTACTTTATTAAATAAATAATAAATAAACAACTATTGTAAATACATAAAATATATTATTCTACTCTGTTATCGTCTTTGTTCTGCTCCACTAGCACTGTAATCTCATTCAAAACATTAGCAAATTTCGGAGCGCAATCGTTCAGCTTTTGTTCACTCGCTGATGTTCAGCAGCCAATAATGCTCTACAACCGTTTGTAATGGAGGTCAAAATTGTTCGACAAAGAAGATACGGTTTGTCTAATCCATGCAAAGTGTTTCTTCCAGAAAATCTCGACATTTCTATTTCTTCTCGCAAAACTTCTAGTTCCTCGAGAGATCTATCAAAATTATCTTTAATGCAGATAGCCTCCCACTGAGTACTCGATTGTACGTTACCAGCCGTCTGTAGCCCGTCAAAGTGTTGCCAAATCCAACAGTCGGAGGCGATAACGTTTGTCATAGTCAGCGGCTGAATCGCGGATGTAGAATCCTCAAAAAAATTCCCTGACTGCTCTGAAAGATTGTTGTATGCCAGAATGTTTTTGCCTAATTTGTTGGCAGCTTTCGATATCGCTTGGGTAGTTTTTTTAGCTCGCTTATACCCAACTAGAAAAAAAATTAAATAATTTAGTTTTGTTAAAAACTTTGATACATACGTTTCAAAGAATACTTACTATGTCCGCTTTTTGTCAGCAAATATTTATAATATTTGTATTCTGTTCTTTCTTCTTATGTTCAAAGTAGTTTGGTCGCGTTTTTGTACCCCTCCGTGTCCTCCGACCACCTTGATAATTCCTAAACAATCTATAAATATTAGCATGGATTCGAATTATCCCAAACATAAAACGATGCGATGTTATACGTACAAAGTGTTTCCTTTCGAGTTTTAACATAGCAGCGTGGGCTCTCTGTCATTGTTGTAGTAGTTCGTGTTCTACTTCTATATTATCCGAAGCAGCTGACCTAAAAAACGCCAATAATATATATAAGAGCAAGGTACTTTTCAAGACCTCAATGTTACGTGTATTATAAAATGTACCTGGCGGCTCAGTAAGCCCACAAGTGTCCAAAGTATCTGATTTTTAAATCTTCTTTATTGACCACCGTACGTTGTTTTCTGTTATTCAATATGGCTCTTTTATGCGAGACTTTCTATTTCCACTGGTTAATGTTTTCGTTTGTTAAGACAACTTGTCCGTTTGGAATTGACAATCTGATTGTTGCCAACATTTTCTTGGATTCTCTGAGCTGTTCCTTCGCCCTGTTAAATCGATCAAGTAAAACATCACCTTAAAAGGTAAAAAATGTTTGTAAAACATATTGTACATTACGTTACATCAATATTTTAGAAAATAAAAATCTGTACCAATTTTGTGAGCCACCTGTTGCGCGATAAATTCGCAGATTTTGGAAAGACTCCGAGTGATTTGCTGGAGTTATCTAATAATTACGCTGTCTTTGTAAATTCGGATTACATGAAAAAACTTTAACCTTTTAAGTAACACCCACCTCTTTTAATGACGTAAAAAAGGGCTGCAACTTCCAGTTAAGTCGTTCGGTACCCTCTCCATCTGTCATTCCAAATTCTGAAATTTTTTCTAGGTGGTATTCCAATTGACATTGTAATTTATGGCCTGTTGCGTGATACACCATAATGGCATTATATTCCGGTACCAAGCGAGTTTTGTCGTTTGCCTAATGAAAGTCTTACGTTAGAAAACTTTCAAGTAAGAAATTTATAATGATGATGGAACTAACCTGTAACGACCGCAAAAAGGTACAATTAACGTCATACATCCAATGCAGCGTGCGTATCCAACTTCTCTCTCTTATTTTCTTTAAAAGAAGTTCGATATACGCAAACCTAAAAATGCTTTAAAATTTAGTCTCGGTTTCATAATATTAACAGTCATAAACTTTATTACCTTTCACCATGTAAAAACATGTCCGGTATTTCGATTTTATAGGATCTTTATTGACAACTACAGAAAACTGCTAAAGCTGTTTTTAGACAGCTAGTACAAACATGTCCGGTATTTCATGACGGCAGATGGATGCAGCTAGGCCAGTATAATGTAACCTTTTTACTTTGCTGACCCGACTCTCATCCCTTCCTGCCCTGTGGTGACAGTCCTAGTGAAAAAGAATGTTAATAAAATCTATTGCACAATGAACATGTAATATTACGAGGCTATATTCGATCATAACATACTTCATTTGGCTTTCTATCTTTATCCGCTCGCATCACAAAATTGTCCATTTCTTTTTGGGCCTGTCTATTATCATAAACCGTTTCCCGCAATTCTATACCCTGCGTGGCTTTCTGATTGCAACCAAAACACACGTCCGCCATTGCAAAATATCGCCCATTCTATGCAAAGTTAGTTAAGATAACGGATAAAAGTAAGTAAAAATAAATTACGGACTTCCCTCCCCTTATCATTTTTCTAGTATTTTTTATACGAATACCTCGTTTTTAAAACATGCTGGACACACAGTCTTTCCTGTCGAACCGACTTCTTCTTCAGTGAACTCTCTAAGGCGTTCAGGTAAAAACAGCCAATGGCTTATCGAATGTGCTTTAAAGTCAAAATACCGGGATGCAATAAAAAGCTGTCTGTAAACGTCAGTAGAAACCTGAAATCGACAAATTGTATTAGGAAAACGCAATATATTTCAACGCACGATTTGATATTACTTACGTAATTAGTTGTATTACGTGCTGTCGTTCTTAACATTCTACAGAAGTCTTTGCATTAACGGCATAGTAATGCTTTAACTTAGAGTAGACTTGCATTACACCGTATGTGAAGGCCAATCCTAAATTAAAATATATGTTAATAACGTCAATCGTATGCCAATTAAACGCCCAAAGTTTTCGCACCCACCGGTGTTGCTGGCCAAAGCTTATTCTGTAGCAAGGTTGTGATAAAATTGGTACAGGTGCATACTTCAACGGTAGCGTGTTACTGACCTGTACAGAAATAAGTTAAGCAAAAATTGGCACTCAAAAAGAAGAAGAAAAAAATAGAGAGAAGTTTTTATGCCATTTACCATAAAGTGTTTGAACAATTATTTTCTTTGCATCTATGAAAGTCGGCGAGCATGAACACCTTTTGGAAAGAACAATAATACCACGGTCGTATTCTACAAAGAGACTGCCATATTCGGTATTTCTCCATTGCTCAAAAAAGTGATACCAATTTGCCGAGCCATGATATTCATTTGCATGAGAAAGACAAAAGGTGGTGCCTATACGAAAAACTTAATTAGTTGACTCGTTTTGTTAACAGACAATGAAGTTTTATAACTCACCGCCACATTCTAAACAACGGATGATAGCGGGCTTTTCACAAAATTTACATGTGTCAACAGATGAAATGGCTTGATTTTGTATGTCGAAATTTATCGCACTAGGCATCAAATCTTTCCAATTAGCATGGAGCTTATCATTCGTTCTGTGTAGGAGTTTGTTCGTCTTTCCACTATCTCTAAAAGATTTGCTAGAGTTATTTAAACTATTCGATAAGTATGACGAATAAGTAAATAGTTTACCTCGGCATAATATAAATCATGTGTCTTGTCTGTTATCTCAAGTGGAAT